GTACTGTATAAGTTCAGACAAGTTCATCCATGCTCATGGCTTTAAATGCTACCTCTGTAGCAATCATCTTTACTTCCAGTTCAGATCTGTGTTTTGGGCTCCCAATCCACATGCTTAACTGTCCCTTGGGCATCTCTTCTTTAATGTTAAAGGCACTGCACACAAGTCCAGAACAGAATTCATTATCTCATGTTGGTTTTCTGTCATGGGTCACTGGGTAGATGATGGCGCCAGTAGCTGACAGAGAATGTGAAAGGAGGAAATGTTTGAGGCTGGGAAGGAAGATAATGAATTTAGTTCTGTGTCACATGGTACAGAGCAGAGCAGGAAAATAAGGACTAGAAATCACATTGTGCAGTTAGGAAGTTACTGAGGCATACTGAGAGCATCTTGGTGGAGTGGAGAGCAGGCAAGCTAGACTGCTGATAGGTAAGAGGTGAGAGGGGAAGAAAGAGGCAGCAAATATAGTCAACTCTTTAAAGAACTTTGTTTCAGAAGGTCAGGAGAGAGATTGAACTAGTTTTAAGGAGATGTGGTAATGGAAGGGATTTTAGGATAGAAAAGACTAGTGAGGTATAGGTTCAGGGGAAGGACCCAGTTCAGGAGAGGGAAGAGATAGCTGATAGAGCAAGGTGCCATGAGGAGCAAGAGGGTTGGTTTGAAAGAAGGATGGGTATCTCCACCTCTGAGACTGGATGTGAGTGAATGAAGATGAAAAGATTCATCAACTACAAAATTTTCTGTTGACTCCCTATTGTTAACAACTCATCAGAGTATGTAAGGTTCTTTACAGTCTGCTCCCTCCTCATCACACACACGCACACGCACGCACGCACGTACACACGCACACACACGCACACATACGGAGCCTTACTGGCACAGTGGTTAAGTGGTTGGCTGCTAACCAAATGGTCGGCAGTTCAAATCCACCAGCCACTCCTTGGAAACCCTACTCTGCCCTGTAGGGTCGCTATGAATTGGAATTGACTCGACAACAATGGGTTTGGTTTGGTTTTTCATTTATATATATGTGTGTATATATACACACACGTACATATATATATACATATATACACACACATACATACACACACATACATACACACACACACACACACACACACACACACACACACACACACACACACACACACATATAATTGCTGTTTATAATATTACCA